AGAAGTGATTTGTCATTGTCTTCTTTTTAGGGCTGAAAGTTACTGGCTCAAGGTCATTCAGCTGGCTTTGTACCTACGATGGGACTAGAACAGGGGACCTCAAACTTGGCCACTTTAAGACTTGTGGATTTCAACTCCCAGAAGTCCACAAATCTTAAAGTGGCCAGGTTTGAGAATCCCTGGACTAGAAGTCTGATTTTTAGCCTGGTACCTTAACCATTACAGCCAATGTCCGTACCTCTGTAACTCAGTGTAAATGTGCAAATCCAAAAAATAGATTCTTCATTGACAAAATTACATTTGTTTTGTGAACAGTTACAGTGTGCTCTGATTGGAGCAGGCACAGGGATACCCAATATGGCCATTATAGAATATATATAATTTCCACATGTGCTGAATATGTCTAAGCTCTGAAAAGTAATGCAGAATAGAAGTGATATGATGGAGTGCTGGGGCATAACCAGAGCTTAGAACTGGGTTAGTGGACTGCTGTTTCTTCCCTCTCCTCCTTGTTGATGCCAAAAAAGTCACTTCTTTTCTGAAATGGAACATTCTGAGCCATGCAAATACTTCTGAATATCCAATCTTTCAGGAAATCCACTTATCATTTGCTCTAATGATCTTTAAAACCCGTCATATAATGGACTTTTCTTCAGTTGAATTTTGTTACTCAGGAGAGTTATGAGTAAGAGTCCAACCCATCTCAGTTTTGCCTCCAGTACATACAAGAAAGGAAAACAACTTTCTTTCTTGGGCTGCAATCCTGAAATATATATATTTTTAGGGGGGGGGGGAGAGTCTGTTCAAGCTGGAGTTTGTATTGGGGGTAGTGGGTGTGTGTGTGCAAGTACAGGAGGTGGATGGTATAGCTGGGTGCCCATAAAGAAAGGCTGGAAAGATGATGTAGTGGGTGGGATGTAAGTATAAGAAATTCAGAGGGACTTACCAGAGCAACTAGCAACCTTTCATGCTAGATTTATCATTGACTTTCTTTGTGGGAAGTAGGCAGGGAAAGTTGCAAATTGCAGTCTTGTAGCCATGGGACACTACAATTGTTGTAAATGCAAGCAGTTTCCCAAACACTCAAATCATGATACATGACTGTTGGGAGATGGCAATGGTTGGAACTTCAAGGACTGGACATAAGTACCACTTGGTCAATTCTATCACAACTTCAAACAGTTGTTGAACAAGGGGTCGATAAGCAAGAACCACATATTTATTTAGTTTTTTCTGAACTTAGCTGCCTGTTAAAGGAACACTGTTTCTTCCAAACTTCCTTAAAACTCAGCATTACAAAGTTTTTTCCAAGAAGTTATTAAAACCAACCAACCCAACGAAACCAGAACAGATCCCTTACTGACACTGGACCTCCACATAGCACTGCAATAGGGGAGGGGAAGAAAAGTGAGGAAAGGCATAGAAAGGACAGACTTGTTGAAATACCAGGATCTTGGTCTTATCTGTAATCAGTTTTAACTAAATGAAGTAATCCACGACAGGATGGCTAAGATAGGAAGGAATACACATCCTTCCTATCTTAAGGGAAGGAATATACATCCTTCCTATCTTATGCAAAAATCAGGGAATAACAAGGAAAAGGGGGGAAAAAAGAGGGCCAGAATAATTTGCAAAAATTGTGGAGATTAAGATTGACTTAGCTTTGCATACATAAAGCGACCAGAGTGCATGAATTCCTGGAGAATTGTTTAAAATGTAGTTAATCTATGTTTGTCAGAATTCTGCTCTTGTAAGATTCGTTCCGGCTTGGGTAAGATTGTTTGAGGTGAGTGGATGTTTTTCCAAATAAGACAACAACATTATTTAGTTACCATAACCTTTATTCCCATCTTAAAAGGATTAACAGTAGAAAAGAATGTTTAATGACTTCACAAGACAGAGCTGGAATCTTTTCTGGCTTTGAATAAAGTTTATTGGACCTTCCTAAAGAATTCCAATGAGATTAGGAATAGGAAGTGCTGTTCCTCCTAAAAAAAAACTTTTTTGTGTGAATATACAGGAGGAGAAAGGCTGCTCTTTCTTCTGCCCTTTATAAGCCTGAAGCTAAGCTATAAGATGAAGTTGGTGAATATTGTCACAGAATGGAATACTATAGATCAGACATGTCAAATTTGTGATATCACGTGATGTCGCGCAACGTATCGGGCTGGTTTTGCCATTGTTGGCAATGGGGTGGGCGCGGTTTCCGGATGACACGTCCGGCCCACGGGCCGGCAGTTTGACACTTCTGCTGTAGATGATCTGCTGAACTTTTCTTTTAAGCCTTAGCAATGCATTTTTCATTATAAATGTCATCATTTTCCTGTTCAAAAAATTCAGGGAATTTTTAAATTCTGTTGAATTTTCCTTTAACACACCTATACATTTGAATATCATATCTAGCTTTTTTGGCAAGATTTTGCATACTATTAAGTAAATATAGAAAATGCTTTTTACTGTAAAGACACATACTAGAACTAGGAAGCTAACAGGATGCAACAGCCTTGACAAATACCGGAAGTTTAAAATGCCCACAATATTACCAATAAATTAATTGTTTTAAGTTAATCATGAATGATACTATGATACAATGCTGCTGTCTCAAGGATTTCACCATTAAGCACTACAGTATAAAGCTTAATTATTATTCCTTGAAGATAGTAGAACCCAGAGGGTACAATATGTCCTCCTTTCTGCTCATTTCCAGAACATTTATTATCCTTCCTTTCCCCAATTTTAACAGAATAAAATTCTATCACCAAACTCATAAATTAAGGAAAACAAGGAGGATCCAAAAATGTGCTTAAAGCATTTTGTGTTAATTATCCCCTTAAGATAAATCTGCTACACTGTATAGCTTTTTTCTGGCAAATGGTCTATTGGGTAATATCTATCAAAATAAATTAAAACAAAATCACAGTAGGGTTCAAAGAGAAAAATTGTGCATTACTGATGCAAATTAGGAAAATATCTACTTCTACTTCTACCTTCTCTATACCTTCTCCACTTCCCCTTCCCCCTCCCTTTCCTTTCCTTTCCTTTCCTTTCCCCTCCCCTTCGCCTCCCTTTCCCTTCCCTTTCCTTCCTTTCCCCTACCTTCCCCTGCCCCTTCCCCTTTCCCCTTCCCTTCCCTTCCCTCTGTATACCTTTCACTATTAATCAGTTTAAGCATGATTTAGTCAGGGTAGTGGATAACTTCCTTACATTTTGAGGTTCCAATTTCAATATGACTAACATTTCATAATCTGCCTGCTGCCTATTTAGTTTTTATTATTAAATCATAGTCATTGGCATGACACATTTTTGATGTTGCTGCTAGGAAATATGAAGTACACGCTGCCCTGGCCTTTTGTGACTCTCATTAGCCAAATTCTGCAGCTGTAGTCCCAGAGCATCACATGGCAATCTCATCTCTGCTTTCACAGCTGTATTTGTGTTTTGTTTTTTTTCTTAATAACTGGCACTCATTCGGACTTTTTTAAAAAATTAAGTCCTCCTCCTCCTTAATAATGTTAACCCAACCAAATGTACAGTATTCCCTTGGCTGAACTGATGTAATGGTTCTTTGGCTTGCTATCTGAAACCTTTGAATGTTATTATGTGTGGCTTTGGAATTGAGATGGAAGGAAGTGAATAGTTTAGGACAGGGGTAGGCAACCCAAAACACTCAAAGAGCCACTTGGACCAGTTTCCCACCAAAAACAAAACACCGGGAGCCGCAAAACCCTTTTGATATTTAAAATGAAGATAACACTGCATATATCCTTTTTTACCTTTATTATAGGTGTGTGTGTGTGTGTGTATATATGTGTGTGTGTGTATATATATATATATATATATATATATATATATATATATGTATGTATGTATGTATGTATGTATGTATATGTATATGTATATGTATATATACACATTAAAAATAAAAGTAAAAATATGACTCTTGGGAATATCCATACTATTAAAACAATGATCACCAAGAGACTACTTTACATACACACACAGGTAAAAAAAGGATATATGCAGTGTTATCTTCATTTTAGATGTCAAAAGGGTCTCTCTCTCTCTGTCTCTCTCTCTCCCTCCCTTTCTATCTGCCCTTGGTCTGCCACTCCTCTTCCCCCACTCTTTCTTTCTTTCTCTCTTTCTCTCTCTCTCTTTCTCTCCCCCCCCTCCTATCTGCTGCTCACCTGGCAAGCTTCAAGCTGTTCTCCAACAAGCTCAGGGGTAGGCAACCTCGTCTCTTTTATGACTCATGGACTTCAACTCCCAGAATTCCTGAGTCAGCCTAGCTGGGCTAGCTAGCTCTCTCCTGCCCGTCCTGCTTCCTGCAGAGACGCAGCAAAGGGAGGAGCTCCGCCCAGTAAGCTTTTCAGCTCCTCGGAGAACACTGTGAGTGCACTCTCTTTTACACATACACACACACACACACACACACAAAACACACACACACACACATCCAGACACAGACACACACACAGAGAGAGAGGAGCAGGGAAGTGCAATTGCCTCTCTCTGTCTCTGTCTCTCTCTGCAAAGGCAGAGGAGGCTGGGAGCCACAGGGGAAGGCTCAAAGAGCCGCATGCGGCTCCGGAGCCGCAGGTTGCCAACCTGTGGTTTAGGATATAAGCAATTAAAATAGGAATTGGTGACTTTTAATTGTGCACTGGATATTTATGACAAAATGAAAACTAGGGTTTTTTTTTGACATTGTATCCAAATAAAATTACTGGGATTTGGAGGCATAACTGTTAACGGTAGTAATCTTGTGTTAAGTGTCATAAATTCATAAATGGATAAACTTATTTCTGCTAGTAGTTCTGTATTTTTGCTCATTGCAGAATGTTTAGGTGAGGGAGAATGGTGATGATGATGTTTATCACTTTGCTATGGATCCCTGAACAGAAAACACACATACCCAGTTGCACATTTGGTTTGTGCAATGAATCAGGAAGGTGGTCTTTATACTCAGCCATGTTTACATCAGCTTTTTCTATTTACAGGTGGCAGTACGTGTCCAAAGATCTTAGTTACTCCAACCTACTCTTTAAACAGTACGACTAGGCTGTACAAGCCAAGCATCTGCAATGAAGTGGTTCAAGGAGTAAATGGAAACGATCCAGTTAAGTATTCTCCGTGGCCAGCTTCAAACTCAAAGCCACAAGGTAAGTAGTATCTCAAATCTGTACTTGACTTTGATTTCAGGATCCTGTGTCAGTTCCTTGAATTAATGATACAACACACGTCGCACAAATAAAATTGCTGGCTTGCTTGGATGAATGAAGCTTTAGCCAGGAATTGGGGCATTATGAGAGGACTAGATTGGAAATATGAGAGATGAATATAGTTTGGTCTAGTGGTTACCAGGCTAGAAGCCAAGGTCTGTAAGTTCTAGTCCCTTCTTAAGCATGAAAGCTAGATGGATGACCTTGGCCCAGTCACATTCTTTAGCCCAACTCATCTCACAGAGTTGTGGGGAAAATAGAAGGAAGAAGTATTGTGAGTGTTTGCCACCTTGAATTATTTATAAAAATAATAAAGGTGGGATAATAAATAATGTCATTTTAGTATTAAAATATTATTTTATTTAGTAACTCGATCATTCTTTTTCCAACTGAAGCAGTTCTATACTGCAGATCAGCTTCCACAGTTCTTTAGAAGAAATTGAGGTAAAAATATTGAGTCGGGAAAAATGTGTTTCCTAGATGTGTGGCTCAGTCAATTGGGACTTTTCCTGCTTAAAGAAAAGCGGCATAAGAATCACATGCCAAATTTCTGGAATTGTTTCCAACACTTACCAGCAGAGGCCTGAAGAGATAGCTGTATATTTTCTATGTACACTTTCATGTTACATCTATCTGGGTTTGACTCTCCCTTTGTGTTGTGTTGGTGTGTGTGATGCTTGTGCATTGAAAGGCCTAGGATGGGATGGATGTACTCTAGTATAGGTCACGTGATTGGAATAGAGCAGAGTTCCTCAAACTTTCCAGTTTTGTGGCTGGCAGGGAGGTAGAGAGGGGATGGTTCAGTTCGAGCGACTGGCGTTTGTGTGTGCAGCTCCATTTGTGTGAGCGGCATGCATGCACGCCCGCCGCTCATGCAAATGGAGTGCGCATGCATGTACTCACTCACTGCTCACGCAAGTGGGGATATGAGTTCTCTGCCACCATTTGTGTGGCCCAGCTGGGCTGTGGCTCAGATGTTGGGGATCTCTGGAATAGAGCACTTGCCAGCATTTTGAGCAGCTGCAAAGTGTCTCTCTAACAGGGATTTAAGCTGGGACATGACCACTGAGGTAAAGACCAGGATAGAGAAAGCTCGAACAGCATTCTTCAAAATGAAAAAGGTCTTCTGCAGTCACGACATAAGCCTAAGATTGAAAATCAGGCTTGTCAGATGTTATATTTTTTCTATCTTGCTTTATGGAGTAGAAAGTTGGTCTCTGACAGAAGGCCACCTGAAGAGACTAGAAGCATTTGAAATGTGAATTTACAGGCAGCTGTTAGTATAAGCTGGGTTGACAAGATGAGAAATGAGGAGGTGATAAGCTGCTTGGGAAAGCCAAGGGAAATCATCAAAACAATTAAAAAACGAAAGTTAGAATATTTCGGACATGTGATGCGACACCCAGAAAAATACGGCATACTCCATTTAATCCTCCAGGGAAAGATTGAAGGCAAACGAGGTCCAGGCAGAAGAAGAACATCATGGCTTCAAAATCTAAGGGACTGGTTTGGACAAAACTCAGCAGCACTTTTTTGTGCGGCTGCTGATAAAAACAAGATCGGCAACATGATCGCCAATGTCCAATAATGGATATGGCACAAGAAGAAGAAGAAGAAGTAGCCTTCAGCCATCTCTAACATGAATCTTTTCATAACATTTATTTTTTTTATTTCTCAAACTGATACGCCACCCATCTCACCTAAGTGATTGTGGCCAGTTTATAATAAAAAGCCACACAGCCATTTAAATGAGAGATAAATAAATATGAACTTAAAACAGGAATAAAAACAAGTTAAGTTTTTATTAAGTTAAAGTTAATAAGTTTAATTTAATAAAAAAGTTAAAAAGGCAGAGGGAACATTCTCAATTCCTCAACTACCCCCAAGGTTCCATGACACTTTTAGATCCCCATGCTAGTTGGCAGAGCCAGGTCTTGATCCTCATCTAGAGAAGGCCAGCCGAATGGGGGCCTACCTCACCCACCAGGGGCAAGATATTCCATAGGATGGAAGAAACAGCTGAGAAAAGTCTCTTCTTAGACCCTGACAATAAAAATGCTTTGATTGACAGGGTCCACAATATACCCTCCTTGCCTGATTAGGTGGGATGAGTTGATGTAATTAAAACAAGACAGTTCCTCAAGTAACCTGGTCTCATGCCATGTAGGGCTTTAAAAGTAATAACCAACACCTTGAATTGGACCTGGAAGCAAATTGGCACCCAATGCAGGTCATGTAGCCAAGGTATTATATATGCAATCCCAGATGAGCCCCAATACTGCCACATTCAGCACCTGCTGCATCTTCCAGATATTCTTCAAAAGATAACCCTATGTAGAATGCATTGCAATAACTTACAGTACCACCTCATGGTATTGTTTACAACTAGTACTCATGTGTATGAGTTAATCCTGAAAGATCTCTACCTGTGGTAGCTGTTCTCATTTTCATATTGCTGGCTGATTTTGGTTGATCCTGAAAAGCTAAGCAGAGTGAGACATAATATTTGGGTGAGAGACCAACAGGAAATCCCAGGGATTAGACTAGACAGGGAAGTTGAAAGAATTTCTCAGAAAAAGACAATGACAAACCACTTCCATGTTATTGCCCAGAAAAATACATGGGCATGTCAATGCAGTATAATCATCTGGAGTTGAGCTCAGGTGAAATAAGACTTTGTCTCTACTCTCAGTAGATTAGGAGTGCAGCATTATTGCTGGTTAGTGTGAGAGGAAAAATATAAAGAAACTATTTGTTCCCCTCTCAGAAATTTTGTTCCCAGTAGGCACAGACATCACAGTGGCATCAATATATTGAATTAAAGTTTGAATACTGTTGTTTTGTTAATATATTCCTCAATTCCAGCACAACTAATTAAAAGCCTACTGCATTGTTTTTCCAGGTCATGTAAGCAGCCGCGTTGCTTAAATTAGCGATCAGATGGTTATCAAAAGTTGTATTGTAATTCTCTTGGTTCCAAAATTTCTCCATTGTGGAGAAATTAGCAAGAGAAGTAGCAGCAAATAGAACAGAAACTATAGAATGGAGAAACTGAGCCGAGGTGGCGCAGCAGTTAGGGTGCAGTACTGCAGGCCACTTTAGCTGACTGTGTTCAGCAGGTCAGCGGTTCAAATCTCACCGGCTCAAGGTTGACTCAGCCTTCCATCCTTCTGGGGTAGGTAAAATGAGGACCCAGATTGTTGGGGGCAATGTAAATATATATATACATTGCTTACTGGTGTACACCGCTTAGAGAGTGCTTGCATTTAAAGCGGTATATAAGTCTCATAAATAAATAAATAAACTTTCCCAGATATACTTACACGCTTCACACACTTCTCACAGTGTTCCTTTTCATCTCTTATTTTATAACATAAAAGTATTGAATTCTGAACAGCTGGTTTTCATCAGTCTTATTGGGGAACATTTTTATAGTTCAGAGGACAATTTGGAAAGTATATCTAGGTTTTCTTATCTTGATTTGCAGTACATTTAATTCCTCAATCATACTTGTTTTGGCACATCATTGTTTTAGTTGAGTCTAGCATTTCCATGTATCTGCCTATTTAGATGGACTGAAGATGCTTCATTAGATTTGAGTATTCATCATACAGCTCATTAAGTTCATTATGCATTGTGATTACTAGAAAATATTATTTGCTGGTCAAATCTGCAGAGAGGTTATATTCCATTCAAACATGGACTCCCTATTGTTCAGCTAGCCCTTGAAGTTCTCCTTATCTCCTGTTACTTGCAAAAGTTAGAGGTGGCTTTGTTTTATTAAGTAAATTTTGTTAATTAAATAATTTAATACTCAGAGCAAGCACTGGATTTGAACCGTAGTAGTTATAGAAGAGGCTAAACTTTTATTGTGGCACAGTGTAATAACCTATTTTAAGTGGTAATATAGATTATTGTTTAGCTTTGCTTTGGTGAATGTCTAAGTAATTTTGAAGAACAGAGCTAATATTATGGAACTTAATTTCTATCAGTGAATTTATCTTCACTGATAAAATCCTTATTTTCAACTAGTTTCCAAATATTATAAATCTAAAAATCAAAATTCCCTTTATCTCCACATTTCCCTTTAACTCTCTTATTGGCAATATAAAATCCCCTCTAATGAGTCAAAGTCCTGATTTTTTCAAACTTATTCTAGCTTTCTTCCTTTGCCAATTAGGCTTCCCTATCAGTGCCTTTAAATCATCAAATAGATCTCCCTCTATTCTTACACATGTTGTTTGAATTAAAGACCATTTGATTACCATTTTTTTGAGAGAACTAGCCCATTTGTATCCATTAAATTGTCTCCCTGTTATTCCAGTTCCCCTATTTGCTCTAATGTATTTGTCTTCAGTCTGTTCCATTTTTTTCTCAAACTTCTTCTGATTTATACAGAAAGTCATTTCCGTTTCCCATGTTGTCGCTTCCTTTTCTGGATTTTCTGTCAAGTGTACTTGATGATCAGTGGAGTCCTCTGTTTTCATCTTTGGTTGTCCCGCTTCTTCTATTTTCTTCTGCATTGTTGGTTCTTTAGTTATGGTCAAAATTTGGATTTGTGTATCTAAGCTGGCATCTTGGTCTTTTATTTTCAGTCTTATTTTATCACAAGCTGCAAGAATGCTTTCACGTATTGCTTTCATCATAGCAAGGGTTTTTTTCTCGTCTTCATCCATCTTTCACTTGTTTGTAAATGGTCTTTCTAGTAGAAGTTATTTGTTAAGCAAAGGTCAGTAAAAGTTTACAGTCACAGTTCAAGTAAGCCAATTTTGCTGCCCAGCTGTTCTCTTACAGCTGAATCTTCTCACAAGTGGCTCCAAGGTTGGGAAAATCTTATCCGAGTCTGGGCTTTGAGCCAAGTCTCTTTTTAGGAAATAACAAATTGCAATATGAAGCTTCACCACCAGATGCCACCAATGCAGTTTAGAGTTTTTTAAGTC